CAGATAAAAACCTTACAAGGTGTAAACAGATGACCATCTACCAGGTTTTAAACATATTTTAAGGAGTGAATCTTCTAAGATAGATCTTCAAAACAATGATAGAGTCCCTGAACCCTAAGACATATATGTGTGCAGAGACATTTAATGATAAATGATAATAATAGCAATTATAGTAGCAAATGCTCCTAGAGCATATGCTGTGTGCTCTGCTCTCAAAGCTTTACCTCCATTAAGACATTTGTGGATGATTTACTTAGGTGTATAATACATGAGAATAAGACAATGACATGTGATTTCTGATGGCACCTTCTTGATTCCTTCTGGCGGCATTCTGATCTGAAACCTGCGACACAACTTCTAAAGTCACAAGGCAGATTCGATCTTAATGGAATATAGACCTAATCTTGGTTGCCACAGAAGTGCAGAGATGCCAGTATTGGTTTCAACGAAGTTCATGAAGCTTTTGTTCTCATGTGCTTTTGGCAACTTTAAAAAAGCTTGGCTTCCCAACTTGTGTTCACGAAGATCTCCAAGCTACTTAATGGAGGTTTATTCGCTTGTGTCACCATTGACATCATCACGGCCAGTCCATTCCTCATTACCAATGGACTAAAGCAGAGAATTGTGTAATAGGTCAGTTTTTATTAAATCCATATTCCACAGCCATGTTCAAAGACTCAACAAAGGAAGTCAGACTTAGTCCATGTAAGATTTTCATTGGCAACATGGCTAAAAATCATCACTGAATTTTCTTTCCTTGGCAGCGCTGTATCTAACAGTGTGCTGATTGACCAAGATGCATAAAATTAAATCCATAAGGCCAGGATGTCTTTCTGGAGACTGGTGGACAGAACGAGACACCATTCTATCAAGCATCACTCTCAAAAACCAAAGCTTTTTCCAAAGCAGTATTCCGTGCCAATCTTTTTTTGCCGCTCCAAGACTTGGATCTGCTACAGGAATTAATTCGGGCTCTTTAGTAATTCATCAAAATCACTTATGCCATTAGTTAACATTAACTAGCAGGAGTGAATTAACAAAAGTCTGTAATGCAGCCAATCGAACAGCATTGAAATGGAGATTACTCCCTGGGTGAGACATATGTGGAGACGAGATGACAGCAGCGACCACAGTGGCCATTGTCTGCACAGTAAACCACAGGGAAACAGCTTAGAAGAGGAAGAAACTATCCTGCAACAGAGCTCCAAACTGGAGGAGCAGACACGCCAACGATAGGGAAGGCAGCGTTAGGGAAAATGATTACTACAAAAGCCACTAACTCTGTAAAACTCAGGGCAAGAGCCGCTCGCTAGCTGTGATAGCTTTTGCGGATGATGGCTCCAGTGTGAACATGCTGGTCAGCCTTCAGTGGGGCTTCTCTTGAAGTAGCAGTCATTTAAGTCATATTCTGAGATGTCAAATGTTCGCAATAGAGAATACATATTATGGATGCATGCAGGTAGCCATACATGGTTCATTTATATTTGCTTGTGAATAGATATATCAATTTCAAGAATCCAAACTCCCAAACCTGGTGTTCCAGACCTTCCATAATCTTGAATCAACCTGCTATTCAGCCTGTCTTTTGTGCACTATTATTTTATTTTATGCGCTAATCTTATCTGCATTAACCCTAACAGGGATTTTGATCCACGCCAAACGCGCCTCCTTACTCTTTTCAATCGGTCATCCAAGGACTTTTCTAACTTATGCCCGTGGGTAGAATGCCCTTCCTTCTTCTCTTTAATTTTTCAAGCCCCTCTCTCACCATCTTGAAGACTATAAAATAATGGCCCTACGTTGATTATATTCTGCCGTGATCGCTAGTGGAAATCTACTGTCCTCACCATTCGTTGGGCAGTAAATCATAAACTATCTTGCATTTTTTATTTATCAAGTGAGCATGTCTCTTTTTTCCCCTCTCCTCCAAGTGGATTTTAACCTTCATGTGGACAGGTACCATGCCTTACCTTTTTGTGTGTGTGCACTTCAGGGAGCACCTAAGACAGAACTGTGCTCGTTCTAGTTAGTAAGCATCACTCTCAAGACCAAAGCTTTTCCTAAAGTGGTGTTTTTGCCCATCTTTCATGCTGCTCCGACACTTGAACCTACTATAGGAATTGATTCAGGCTCCTCTAAAGAGTTAAGAATTCACCTAAATCACTCATGCCAGTAGTCAACACGTATTAGGAGGTGCATTGGGTGCTTTTCATGGTGTTTCTCAAAGCACTTGACTCTATTATCACAGCTTCGCTCGTAGCACTCCAGGAGGATGGCAGATTGGATGCTATTGTTTGCATTTTAAAGATAAAAAATGTGGAGCCTTGAGATAGTAAATGCCTTGTCCAAGAATATAGTCAGTGGCAGGCTGGGGATAGGGCCTATACGTATTTCCCATTCTCAACATTATGGGAGAAAATAATTTGATATAAAAAGACATACTAATTGGCAATATCTCTCTGGATTTTCCACATTCAGGTGTTGCTATGAATCTGCAAAGAAATCATCAGGTCTTGTATTGTACAGGAATTGCTGTGCAAAATAGTCGGGCCCCCATTATTCATCAATTGCTCGATTGTTCAATTTCCTACTATTTTGGGTTTCTTCCCCCCCAGGTTTACAATGAAACTCAGAGTTGGTGAGCTTTCAAAGTGAAGCTTCTTGCCGAGTTTAGCTATCTGGTGGCATTTAAGAGTATTAAAACCGCCACTGATGATTTCTTTTTCTATTCATTTCCACAATACAAACAATGTTATTAAAAGTAAACTGTCAGAGATATGCTTACAAGTTGAGTCTCTCCCATCCTGCCCCACTTCCCTTAATACAAAGGCACCAGAAGTGAGTGGGCAGAGGATGGGGCAGCTGGCTGCCGCCAACAGCTTGCCGACTCCTTAATGGTGCTTTGTTTGCATCATTACCTATTACATCTGTGAAAGCCTTTTCTATTTGCACTGTCAAATCCTCACTTTTACCTTCATTTAATGGACTGCATCAAAAGCAAAGGCCCAGCAATGAGAATGACTCTACTCCTGTGCCCACTCACCCTTGCAGTACCCTTCCCTTTCACCCCTCGCAACACAGGCAAAGAGATCCACTCAAGGCCCCCACGTGGCCCTTGTCCGCAGCCTGGCGGATTCTCGGTGCTCTGAGCTGTAACAGGAAGACAAGGAAAGACTTGGGTCTGCGGGATTACATAAAGAAACCCAATGAAATTTGAATTTCAGATAAAAAACAGTTTTCTTGTTTTTTATTTTTTTCGTATGAGTATGTCTCGAGCAATATTTGAGACGCACTGACACAACAAATTATTCATTGTTTTTCTGAAACACCAATTTAGCTGGCCATCCTGTACTTTTCTTTGCTAAATCTGACAACCCTAAGTGTGCCATTCGAGACCTGTAATGCCCAGGTTTTTCATAGTGGTCTCAGATCAGCGAGCCCTTTGTACAGGAGGTCCCCTTGCAGTGGCTTTCCCCCTCTCTCCTGGATATAGCTGCTCTGTCAAAGAAAACAACATTAGAACAGTGCTCGGAGCTTCTTTGCCTTCTGGGGACTGCTTCAGCTGCTGCTCCATGTGGAAAGCAGAGAAGAATGGCCCACGTTTCAAGGTAGTACCACAAAAGTAGCAATTTTTTATGCAATATTTTACTTGTTACTAAGAAGAAATTAGACTTTGAAGCACTGCTTATGCCAGTAATTTCTTTTGATACTATGTATTACTTAGTTCAGAAAGAAATCCTTTTTTTCTCTAAAAAAAAAAAAAAACCAACCAAACAAACAAAAACCCTCACAGGACAAATAAGGAACTTAGTATTTAACAACATAACCTGTAAGTTAAAAAAAAACCACAAACACACACACACACACACACACACACACACACACACACAACTGGGCTTGAATTCTAAGGAAATTACTGGAAGTGCCATTGAAGAAATCAGCACCTGAGAGCAGTGATTCATGAAGAGTTAGTTTCCATGTTCATATGGGTATATTAAATCTGCGTGCTGATGAGGAGGGGAGAAGCTGCTCATTAATCTCATAATTTATAACCAAGATAGATTACAGAGATATGTCTGTATATCACATGCAGATATTACAGGGCTTGGAATCTAATAACCACTTCTCAGAAACGTTTGTCTTACTTTTTTTTTTTTTTTTTTACTGAAAACAAAACAAAACAAATCCCAGATCTTTCATGGACATAGTACTAGTTTGTAAAATAATTGCAGGGATGATTTTTAAATTGAAATACATCTTATTCACCAAGTCATGTTGAACTAGGCCTGACAACTAATTAAAGTAAAGAAACCCTTCATTAAATGGAATTCACTCGTTTGAGGAGTGTTTATAGGGTGCTCACTATGTACCAGGCCCTGGTTAGGCACTAAAGATATAGCCGTGAACAAAACAGATCAAAATTTGCCTTTCATGGAGTCTACTGCTACTGGGAGACAGAGGCTTATACCCAAAATGTGTATTTTGGTGAATAGTATTAAGTGCTAAGGAGAAGCACTACTTGACAATGCTTTGGAAATACAGTTTTCTGTCTAATTTAATTATTTGATTAACCATTTATTAAACAGAAAATGCCACTTAAAGATCTTCTTGTTAAAATGCTTTCTAAATACTATGCATTGTACTTTGACCATTATATATAGTCATCACAGTGACATTGCTCTAATAAGCTGGAAATCTTGATGGTCATTCATCGCCCTTTTCTTGAATTGCAAACCACATAGCTTAACTACCCACTTATCCTTAGGTATGTTATCTCCTGATTTTTCCATCATTCTCCATTATTAACTAAAGATTTTGGACCCTAGAATCCTATGCTGTTTTCCAACCCTAGTTGCACCAATGATCTTGAGTGCTTTCAGTAATCACCTGAACAAGCAAAAAAAAAAAAAAAGCATCGAACACACCAGCCTTCCAGCTTCTTCACATTTACAACTCCAAAGACCACATTCACCTTGAGCAATCCTCTCCCCTGGGCTCACCTTGAGCAATGTCACTGTGAAAAACCTCTCCAACTCCAAAATCAAATCTCCAGTGTACCCCCATCTGTCCATGCTCTCCCTCCGGTTTCCTGCCTTGTGGCCCTGAGGGTGCCATTTAGGATTATCAACTCATCCAGTCATCCTCTCAGCAAATGTTCACTGAGCATCTGCTGTGAGCAGAGGACCATGAAAGGCACAGGATGTAGTCGTAAATAGGAGAAACAGGCTCAAAGAACTTGCAACCTGGAGGGAAAGAACAACGGGGGTGAGTCATTTCAAGCATGATGAGCTTTAGGGAATAGAGTGCAGGTGGCAGGTGCAGGGGGCGCTTACCAAGGCAGGGAACCTAAGACTGCTCCTCAGAGAAGCTTGTCTCTGAGACAGTTTCTATATTGAAGTACAGACTGAAGAAGAAGCAGCTAGCCAGGCAGAGTGTGAAGGGTATTCTCACCGAAAGATCAAGCATGTTCAAAACTTTTTGAAAATTTGCATTTTCAAGGTGTGAAAAGGAACTGAAAATGCCCCAGTGAGTCTGTGGCATAGATGCTGTGCCAAAAAATGAAGGCTGATAGAGCTGTACAGCTGGGGCCAAATCACGTGGGTTACCGGGTCAGGGTATAAGGATTTTGAACCTCAGGGTACTAAGGAGCATTTGCCCAACCAAGACTTCCTAGCCAATCACATAATATACTCTCTTCCTAGTCAGTACTTATGATGTCTTTGAACCCCAAACCTGGATCACATTAAAATATTCTTCCTCTAATCCTTTTCTTGGGAGTTCCATGCTATTGAGGGAAATTGCACAAGCAAGATGATTGGCAGTATTGCAATCTCTCGCCTTCCCAACTGATTTGGAATTGTTGTGCTATTTATCCATCTCCTCTCTCCTCTTTGGTCAGGTCTGTCATTCTTCTCAGTGGATAGAGCAAACCTTGTCCATTCTTTGTCATCTTCTATTCTCCTCCCAATCCCCAACCCACAAATAGCCTTGTTTCCACTACAAGCAGGGTCACTGAGCAGGGACTTGACTACTCAATGTCATACCCCCTCTGCTTAAGCACAATCCACAGTTTTGTATCCACAGTTATCTCCTTGCCTCTGTTCAGGGGTTGAGGGTCATTTTCCCTACTTAGCATCTATTTCTCCGCTTTCACTTTTGATCATTTTCTCACATCTTGCTCCTTCATTTATCCCTTCACTCTTCTGAGCCTTTTTAGCCTGCCCATCACCCTCTATTTTGTTTCTATCTGGAGTATATATTCCTTTGTGTCCCACATCGCACTGTCATGGAATAATCTGTTTGTATGTCGGTCTTGCCTAATGGACCGTACACTCTTCAAGGGTGGGGGCCGTGTGTTCTATCTGCTGCCCTGTCCACAGATATCATCTTTCTCTCTCCCTTTCTCCCCAGGCCTTTCTGAAACAGAACACAGGTGGCAGTTTCTTCCACATTCCATATAAGTTTTTGAGGTTTTATATGTACTAATAAAACAAGAAGCAAAGAGGGTGAAAAGATTCCCCAGGTCTATGAGGGAAGGTATGTTTAGATAGTAATGATAGTCTTAGAACACTTTAGAAGCACAGGCCTAGACTCAGGAAGTCCCCTGGTGCTCTGTTACAGGCAGAGGCTGGGATAAGGAGCATCTGGGAGGAATGCGGAAATAGATGAGAAAGGTGCTGGCTTCCGCCCACAAGACTTGGCTACTTGTGCCCAAAGGTCCTGGATTCAATAATTGAGTGTTCAGGACCAAACTAGAGGCCAAGGAGAATCAGATACTTGGTTAGAAGGTGTGGGGTTACTAAGAAGCAAGGGGTCTCTAGTGACGAGAAGGAAAAACAGGAAGAAAGACATATTCTCCACTCATGGGAGGCCATTCACAATTTATGACTTATGAGTTGAAGATTTTCTAAGTTCAATGCTCTGACTTTAATGCCATTTATTTTCTTATATTCTGAATCTGAAGTGTAGCAAAAACATCTAGTTTTGCTTAAAGGGAACCATCCGGTTGGGCTAGATGCTCATCTACCATGCTGTCAGAGCACCCTGTACCCACCTCTACCTTCACCATCACTGGGGCCGCTGCAAATGATTGTGGCAGGTTGTGCACAGCACAAAAGGTCCCTGCTCCTTGGGCAAGTTTATCCATTCAGAGGGCATCCCATTTGCTAATTAATTCAAAATCACAATGTAAGCTAGCAACAGCCTTGGCACTCACATCACATGACCTCACAAACTTTGAGGTTCACAACAGTAGGGTCCATGTCGTAGTCATCTTTCTGCCTCTACTGCGTAATAATCATAGCTAATATGTTGAGGTATCTTTATTATATCCAATTGATAGATAATATAACCAAGTCACTAAAAAATCAAGTAAGTACCTTGCCCAAGTTTACATAGTGGGTGTTAAACTTAATTAGGGTTTAAAGCTTTATTGCTTTTTCTTTTAATGCCATGCCTGCTACCTTTGATAGTACCAGGCATCTAGTAAGTTGTCCATATAAGGATACATCAGATGTAGACCAAAAAGCAGTTGAATGCAGATGATTTTATATGGCTTAATCTGAAAAGTGCTTGGTGGTGGTGGTGGTGGCGGTGGTGGTGGTAGTTCTAGTTAATGAAAATATTATTGTTCATTAATTTTAGGGTTTGGACTAGGAGAGAAATGTATGCTGATTTTATAGTAGTTTGGATTTTTCACATAATCTGTAACTAGCGTTATAGTAGCTGCTTTTCTCATGACAGAGTACAAATATGCTGAGGGGGGACAGGTAAATTTGGGGGACAAGGCAAAGGAAAATGGATGGAGACAACCTGGCAGAGAGTGCTGAAGAGAGCAAAATCCGGGAGAAGACAGAAAGAGAGGTAGTGGCTCCCAACCCTGTCTTAAGAAATGTGGTCACTGTTAGTCTAGAGGTGGGGTCACTTGTTTTTAAAACAGCATTGTTTATAAAGTTGTAAAGTAATCCACTTCAGTGTCACTGTCTTCATGGCCACGACTCAAAGTTTCAGCATCTCAATTTTTTTTCAGCTTCTCACAATCTATAGGGGTAAAAATGTCCAATCCGTGTGCATCCAAATGATATAGTTTATACATCAGACCCTCAGTATGCACACACAGTTTAACAAGCACAAAAGAAAATCAGTTCTGGTAGAGGTTAACTAAATGAGAGAAAGTTGCAAATTATACAGCATAAGAGCTAATCTCCCAAGTGACTGATGTCTATTAATAAATGAAAGGAGTTTGTTTCCAAATGTTTTCTTAAGTTTAATCGGTTTTCAGTAGAGTTTTATTCTTCTGAATTTTTTTCTTTGGAATGGTTTACCTTCTCCTGCAATGCAGAGACCACCACATATGAGGTCTGAAAATTAAATTTGTGAACTCATCCTAGGAAAAGTGCTGCTACGTACCTCATTGCTGAATATCACTACAGTCACCTTCAAAGTACTCCCCTTGGGAAGCTATGCACCGACATCAGCAACTAGTCCTCCCTTTAAAGCAATTTTGACTCTTTTTCTAGAATGGCCATCAGAGCTGCCGTCATATTACCCTTGATTTCTTGAATGTCATCAAAATGTCTTCCTTTCATTATTTCCTTTATCTTCAGGTAAAGAAAGAAGTCACTGGGTGTCAGATCAGGTGAGTAGAGAGGGTGTTCCAATGTAGTTATTTGTTTACTGGTTAAAAACTCCCTCACAGATGGCGCCATGTGAGCTGGTACATTGTCGTGATGCAGGAGCCATGAATTGTTGGCAAAAAGTTCAGGTTGTTTTTGTCTAATTTTTTCACTCAGCCTTTTCAGCACTTCCAAATAGTAAACGTAGTTAACTGGTTTGCCCAGTTGGTACAAATTTATAATGAATAATCCCTCTGGTATCAAAAAAAGGTTAGCAACATTGTTGCAACAAGTTCGAGAACTTAATTGTCAGACCGCATATGCACACATAGTCCACTCTTCTATGTAGGTCTACTGCGGTTACAGACACATGACCCTCTTTCCAAGACGAGTTGGGTGGGTCACAGAAAAGCAGCTAGACACCATGCAACAGTTGGCCTAATTCTTCTAAACACTCTGACTCAGGAAAGAGGCTTCAGAGCATCTGTTCAAGAATATTTTATTTCTCAATGATGTGGAAAATACCTGTGTGAAAAAAAAAAGAGCAATGAAAGTCATTCCACAGGATCAGTGAAAGTTTGTGAGCACAAGGTTTTGTTTACATTGCTTTTGGTTCACCGTGGAAGGAGCTTTTTATTGTGTAGTTAAAGCTGTGTGCAATCTAGCAAATGAACGTTTTCATTACCAAATTTTTAATGGGCTGTAGGTTATCAATAGGTGGATTCACTTGCCTTCCTGCTGTGATTTCTAGGGCATGGACTGTTGACAGAATTGCTTCACTGTGACCCTGCGACTCACACATTAAGTCATAAATGGTCTCAGTGACCTTGCCGTCCTCCCCGGTGGACATGAGTCACAAAATCACCATGTGATATGCCCCAGGGTGGACCAATTGGCTGTCCTTTCCTGAGCTGTGAGAGGGCTACTGAAAGTGAGGGTTTTGGAGAGTGTTTAGGCAGAGTTTTGTGTGGACCGTCGTGGAGGAATTGCCTATATTATCCTGACGTTCAGGGAAGATTAAATATAGTCTATAACTTTAAGAACATCTTTCTCCTACGTAACAAATGAAAACTTACAAATCAAGATGACAAATGGAAGTTTGTCAGACATCAGGGATGCTCTTCGCGGAGACACAGACGACGGACCCTCATTTAGCGTCAGATTTCTTCAGGATCTTACATGCTACCTGTCCAAGAGTCTTTGGGAAATCATTAGATTCCACCTTGAATATACTTCCCTGTTGCCAAACTTTAACTTGGGGTAGGGGTAATAGTTTGGGAGGAAAAAACACCAGTCTCAATTTCAGTTGCCTATTAGACTTGGGCAGATTTGTTTAAAGTTCAGCACACTTTAAAAAATGCAAGTCAAAAACCCCAATCCCTCCTCCTCGCCAAATTTACCCCTCCTCCCACCGGAAAAACACACAACACACACACACAAAAAAACCCCCGGCTGCTTAACCTAATGAGCTGCGGTTTGTTGATGTGATTGCAGTGGCCGGCTAATAGTTGTGTTTAAAATTCCTGTTTCTTATCTTATTAACTGATTGATGGGAACGTGACTTTGCAGACCTTCCTCCCGCACCATCCTTCTCGCGGGGAGTGAATAATTTGACACAGGGAACATACAGACGACACGTTTGCTTCCTTGTTAAATCCCTGTCCTCCCGCCGGATGCGTAGCCCCCCCCCCCCAAGGGTTGTGTCTGCATTATGTCTTATCGGAACCACCTGAAGAGCCGGCCACACAGGGTGGCCTTCCTTAATTTAAGATCCAGAGAGAGAGAGAGAGAGAGAGAGA